ATGGTGTTAAGAGATAGATGGGAGGTGTTGAATGGAGCTGAAGGATGGGACTAATAACAACAACTAATAACAACAAGATAACTAATGTAAAGCATACTGTGTCCATAATAAGTATATAGGTTATAGGTTGAGAGCTTTTGAGAAAGAGCACAGTTAGAAAAATATGGCATATAGAAGCAAACCAGATGGACATCATGAAAATGATCGGAGGAAGTTCAGGAGTAAAAACAAACAAAATATAATTATTGTAGAATTTGACTGTGTTCATCAAATGTATATAGTATGTATGGGCTGGAAGTAGAGGCCTAAGCGTTGTTGTTCACTAGTTTACTCCAATTGGGGAAGGGGTGGTGGGGTTGGAAAGTAATGAAGGGAAATATAATTTTTAAAAGGATATGTGTGTGTGTATGGATGTATGTATATATATGTGTGTGTATGTATGTATGTGTATATGAGTATGTGTATGTGTGTATGTATATATATGTATATGTATATATATTTGCGAGAAAAAAACCATATGGGGGATTGGAAGTGATGCAGACAATTACATTGATGGAAGTTACAATCTATCTGAAATATTAAAGTTGATCTACCCCCCAAAAAAAAAAAGATTACAAAAAACAACAACAAAAAAACAATAGTACCCAAGTATAAACGCCATGGGACCACGCAGCCGTCATACCGCTCAGGAAGGAGACGCGTTCCGTCTCCTAGAGATGAACGTACTTTGGTGCGAAAAGTGCAAATCAATCCCAGAACAACAGCAAAGGACCTTGTGAAGATGCTGGAGGAAACAGGTACAAAAGTATCTATATCCACAGTAAAACGAGTCCTATATCGACATAACCTGAAAGGCCGCTCAGCAAGGAAGAAGCCACAGATCCAAAACCGCCATTAAAAAAGCCAGACTACGGTTTGCAACTGCACATGGGGACAAAGATCGTACTTTTTGGAGAAATGTCCTCTGGTCTGATGAAACAAAAATAGAACTGTTTTGGCCATTATGACCATCGTTATGTTTGGAGGAAAAAGGGGGGTGCTGTGGGGGTGCTTTGCTGCAGGAGGGACTGGTGCACTTCACAAAATAATGGCTCATGAGAAGAAAATTATGTGGATATTGAGCAACTCTCAACATAGTCAAGAGTTAATTTGGTCGAAATGACTTTAAATTGATCATACCCAAACTACAAAGTTTGGCACAAAATTGTGGTTAAAACTAAATATACTAGTTGATCAAAAGCCCTTTTCTAACCAAAATTTTGAAAAGTATAATCTGTCGAAGGTATTTCAAGACTTGATCAGTTTCGCCATGCGCTACAAAAATTGGCAAATGTCCCGCACTACTTCTGGAAATGCTGGAAGCTACCGAACGATTACCGCAAATTAAACAATTTAAAGGCAATGCACAAAAATGGTAGATACTTTCTGTCGCCCTTGAATTATAAATAATTGTTAAATAAAATTAGTGATACTAAGTCTACTATTTATTTTAGGACATTTACAGCGTAAAATATAGTTCAAAATAGTTGGAAGAGATTTTTGACCTACGATTCCATGGCAGATTGTTTAAAATGATTATAATGTCTTAGGCCGATTTGAAACTTCAGATTTTCAACTGTAATTATGAGATGGAATTCTTGCAGTACCAATAAATTTATCGTATCGGGGATACAATTTCTAGCTTGCATTTGCTGCGAAAGACAGAATCGTAGTCATTTGTTTTGGTACTGTCCATTTGTACTTGTTTTCAACACAGGTCCAGGTAATGGCTAAGATTGACATAGTTTACCTGAGAAACCAAGCGATATCACAGTTTGTGAAATGAAAGTTTAACAAATCGCTCATAATATTATAATACTTTTAGAAAAATACTGATTTTTTGAGATCAGTAAACCAAAATATATAGTTCGAATTGTAAAACATACAGTAAAATAAAAAATATTGCCAATAGAATCATGTGGATTGTTAAGAAATAATGGAGGCGTCTGATGGAGCTACCGATCGACAATAACAACACTAATTATAACTAGATAAATAATACAACATACTGTGTCCATATAAGTATAAGGTTATAGGTGAGAGCTTTTGTGAAAGAGCACAGTTAGAAAAATATGGCATATAGAAGCAAACCAGATGGACATCATGAAAATGATCGGAGGAAGTTCAGAAGTAAAAACAAACAAAATAGAATTATTGTAGAATTTGACTGTGTTCATCAAATGTATATAGTATGTATGGGCTGGAAGTAGAGGCCTAAGCGTTGTTGTTCACTAGTTTACTCCAATTGGGGAAGGGGTGGTGGGGTTGGAAAGTAATGAAGGGAAATATAATTTAAAATTGGATATGTGTGTGTGTATGGATGTATGTATATATATGTGTGTGTATGTGTGTGTATGTATGTGTATATGTGTATGTGTATGTGTGTATGTATATATGTAGCTCAACTGGTAGAGCACGGCGCTTGTAACGCCAAGGTAGTGGGTTCGATCCCCGGGACCACCCATTCACAAAAATGTATGCACGCATGACTGTAAGTCGCTTTGGATAAAAGCGTCTGCTAAATGGCATATTATTATTATTATTATCTCAAGACATCAGTCAGGAAGTTAAAGCTTGGTCGCAAATGGGTCTTCCAAATGGACAATGACCCCAAGCATACTTCCAAAGTTGTGGCAAAATGGCTTAAGGACAACAAAGTCAAGGTATTGGAGTGGCCATCACAAAGCCCTGACCTCAACCCTATAGAACATTTGTGGCCAGAACTGAAAAAGCGTGTGCGAGCAAGGAGGCCTACAAACCTGACTCAGTTGCACCAGCTCTGCCAGGAGGAATGGGCCAAAATTCACCCAACTTATTGTGGGAAGCTTGTGGAAGGCTACCCGAAACGTTTGACCCAAATTAAACAATTTAAAGGCAATGCCACCAAATACTAATTGAGTGTATGTAAACTTCTGACCCACTGGGAATGTGATGAAATAAATAAAATATGAAATAAATCATTGTCTCTACTATTATTTTGACATTTCACATTCTTAAAATAAAGTGGTGATCCTAACTGACCTAAAACAGGGAATTTTTACCAGGATTAAATGTCAGGAATTGTGAAAAACTGAGTTTAAATGTATTTGGCTTAGGTGTATGTGAACTTCAGACTTCAACTGTAAGTAATAGGGCTGGGAATTGCCAGGGACCTCATACGATATTATCACGGTACTCAGGTGCCGATACGATATGTATTGCGATTCTCACGATGCTGTATGTATTGCGATTTCGATATTGTGATTTTATTACGATTCGATGTTCCAAACATATTGCTCACCATATGTCTGCTGCAGATAGACAAGAGTCATGAGAAAATAAGTTTTGATCAGTTATGGAAATAAAAGTGCTGAAAACAAATTGGCTCCCTGTTTAAAAATAAGCTTTGAAGGAAAAATACTGGAGTTTTGGTGCAGATACAGCCAACAAGCTCAAAAATGATATTGCGATATTGTCAAAACGATACGATATATCGTCAAAAAAAAAAATATGCCAATATGTAATTGTATAGACTTTTTCCCCCATCACTAATAAGCAATCATGGCCGCTAGGGTGTCTCCGACCAAAAAAACGATCATTTATTTTTATTTATTTTTTATAGTTAGAACAGTACAATATACAAGGTGCAATTTCTAAATGTGTTTGTGCATCAGCAGTTTTTCTGTTGTTATGTCAGTCACTGACACTCACTCAATTAGCCATGTCAGCTAACATTCTGTAGATTGGTAAATTAGTTTAGCCAGCTATCTAAACTTGTAGAAAATCATGGTTGAATTACCTCCAGGGGGCCCCCAGTAACTTGTTATTCACTCTCACTCAGAGGTCATATTAACATGGCATATGTCATGGCAAAATGTGTAGAACTGCAGGAAATTAGCTTCAAAACTGCAAAAATGTCTCTCCGACCTATGGCAAAATGTGTAGAATTGCAGGAAATTAGCTATAAAACTGCAAAATCTTCACTTTGCCAATTGCAGCAAACTTGCTTTATAACTGCAACATTTTCTCTACCCCTCCCCATGGCAAAATGTGTAGAATTGTCTAAAACTTCTAATTTTTTCTCTGGGTCAGTGTGAGAATAATTACAGCATGTGAAAAGGATGTCTTTCCTATTGTATTTATATCCTGGCTTTAAAAATCTGAAGACAGAGCAATTCTAAAATTGCTCCAGGTATGTTGAGAAACGGCAGAGAAAAAGGTAACTGAACTCAATCAACAAGTTCAATAAATCGGCAAGAATCTCATGAAGACTTGCACAACATGCACTCAATGTTCCTTTATGCTTTCTGTACATGTAAAACAGCCTCTCTAGGCCTACTCAGTTGCTGTGTAACCCAATATTTTTTTCTCTGCCACAAACACACACACACACACACAGACACACACAATCCACTGCCTCGGACATCACGCCATAAAGGGTTTTCCTCTACCAGGGTGGGGGTTGGGGGCACTACAACATTCAAACATATAGCCTCTGTGAGTGTGTGTGTGTGTGTGTGTGTGTGTGTGTGTGTGTGTGTGTGTGGTTTGTGTTTCCCAACCTCACATGCGCATCTCTCTTGTCTCCTCCTCTCCACCTCTCTCCTCCACATCACTCTTATTTGGAGAGGGTGTGATAGTGGAGGAGAGAGGAAAAAATAGAGCAAGAGGAAGTGAAGGAAGGAGACCAATGTTTTCAAAAAGACTGATGATTGAGGCTCTTTGTGACTTGGCACTCAGACGCCTAATGCTTATCTGAATGGGAATGAGGTCATTTCTAGGGTGGTCAGTGTCCAGCCAATACAAATGTTGAGATATTAACAAATAATGCCCAATGGTTAAATAATGTATATTACAATCTTGCAAGATTGGCCTCGTTCAATATAGCCTAGTTCACATCATTCGATTATAATCAGACAAATTGATAAATACAGTGTAAAATACAAACATGTTTGTCCTCTAGTCTAAAATGTCATGGGGACATGACTTTTGCTTGTTGTGTCTACCACCCCACATTGCGCCGCTTTCCGCGCCGGGCGTTGGTGCGTTTCAGATACGGACGGCACTGGCACAGTCCCAAATGCAAAGAGCGCTCCCAACTTCTGACCAACGACAGCTCTCCGCCGCTCACCGCGCCGCCGGACTGTCAAGTGAAAATGGGTCTCGAAAAGGCGAATTACGAAACGAGTATTATCATGGACGAGGACGAGTTCAACAGATCAATCGAACCGATTCTGTCGAAAAAAGACAATGTTTATGCGGCGATTCCAGACCGAGATCCTAATGACATAAACGCTCACTTAAAGGTAAGCTACCCTATCAGTGTATCAGCACACCGTGGGCTCCGGGTTTCACAAAGTAAACTACAGTATGTGGATGTGCCTCTATCAAGCCGTAGTTCGATACTTTCATCATGTCACTGTTACTTTGCCATAGGTAATAAACTAGTAACAACATTGTAGGCTATTCATGCGTAATAGCTGCACAAATCATGCGCTATTGCCTATGAGTTTAGTTTATAAATTGGCTGTGAGTTTTCATTTGGAGTCAGTCCTCTTATCCAGCCATTTCCTGAACCAATCTGGTCTCAGAGCATTTCGCATTATTCTATTGAAATCCAAGACACCACATTTAGTATGATATGTCACGTTTCGTATGGTATGTATTAATTTGTGGATGTCCATCACCCATTTTGTATATGTCACGAATTACGATTCGTATTGTATGTTACGAATTTGCAAAACGACAATATGTTAAGAATTTGCAAATTGTAAAATATGTTACGTATTTGCAAAATGTATGCTATGTTACGAATTCTAGCTAGGCTAGGGGTTAGGGTTAAGGTTAGGGTTAAATGTAGGAGTTAGGTTAAAGGGTTAAGGTTAAGGTTAGGGGAAGGGTTACCTAACATGCTAAGTAGTTGCAAAGTAGCTAAAAAGCAGTAAGTAGTTGAAAAGTTGCTAATTAGCTAAAAGTTGTCCATGATGAGAGTCAAACTCGCAACCTTTGGGTTGCTAGACGTTGGCATTATACGCCTACCCATCCACCCCAACCAAACACCTACTTTCGTTTTTGAGTGTCCCGGATTTACATTTACTTTGTTACATCTAGTCTATGAGACCAGGCTACCTGAACAGACAGTTCAGAAACATCTGATTGTTTGTTTGTGATTGTACAGGACATATAATGACAGATAGGTATCTGAATGAATGATTCCTGACAAGTTGCCTCCTTCTCCAGGTTGGTTTTGACGATGTGATAGCAGAGCCCAGTTCGAGCCACAGCTTCGACAGAGTATGGATAGGAAGTCACGCTGTCTTCGAACTGGTCAAATACGTCTCCTACCGAATACTGACCACCATCCTTGCCGTGCCCATGGCGTTTATCCTCGGTATTGTCTTCGGGGTCTTCAGCTGTGTTCATATTTGGTATGAACATCACATGCTATCTTGTTGTTTCGGTGCTTGGCCAAGGGCCAATGTTTCCTTTGCCTGTTTTGCTGCATAAATGTATTAGCCTGTTGATGACAGAGAGGGTGATATACTGGGTGTCAGTTTGCACAGTTAAGCTGGTATACTGACATAACATAAACTATTTAGTTAACATCATAGGTAGAGTACAACTGTGAATGTGTTTGAAGTGTTTTCACTTTATTTTGGTAATTATGTCATAACCTTTCCATATGCAGGTATATAGAACAGATATAGCCCCTGGTTCTCCTCAGACTTGACTGCCCTTGACCAGCACAAAAACATCATCTGGGCTAGACAATCTTGACCCTTTCTTTCTAAAATTAGCAGCCGAAATTGTCGCAACCCCTATTACTAGCATGTTCAACCTCTCTTTCATAACGTCTGAGATCCCCAGAGATTGGAAAGCTGCCACGGTCATCCCCCTCTTCAAAGGGGGTGACACTCTAGATCCAAACTGTTACAGACCTATGTCCATCCTGCCCTGCCTTTCAAAAGTTTTTGAAGCTGGAGACTCTTATCTCCCTCACTAACTTTAAGCGTCAGTTGTCAGAGCAGCTTACCGATCACTGCACCTGTACACAGCCCATCTGAAATTAGCCCACCCAACTACCTCATCCCCATATTGTTATTTATTTTGCTCATTTGCACCCCAGTATCTCTATATGCACATCATCTCTTGCACATCTATCATTCCAGTGTTAATACTAATTGTAATTATTTTGCACTATGGCCTATTTATTGCCTTACCTCCATAACTTGCTACAATTGCACACACTGTATATATATTTTCTGTTGTATTTTTGATTTTGTGTTTTGTTTTACCCCATATGTAACTCTGTGTTGTTGTTTTTATCGCACTGCTTTGCTTTATCTTGGCCAGGTCGCAGTTGTAAATGAGAACTTGTTCTCAACTGGTTTACCTGGTTAAATAAAGGTGAAAAAATTTTTTTTTAAAAAATATAGGCCTATTTTCCATAATGTACTGTATGCATGCCAGTGGACACAGGTGCCTAAAGGACAAAATACCACTCAAAAACTATATTTTGGTATTTGTTTCAGTAGGGCACTGTTGATATGGTCCCAAAATGTTTTGCATGTCAGCAATCAAGTTTTCAAGATATAGAACTTCAAAAATACAGAAAGTGTCACAGTATGATGTGTTTTATTGTATCAACAGTGGACTAATTAAAACAAATACCAAAAGATAGTTTTTGAATGGTATTTTCCTTTAAGTTGTAGGGAAATAATACAACTCCTTACATTCACAAACTGCCTGAGAGTCACTTAGTAAGCTTGCTACTTGCTGAAACAACACCAAAAGTGAGGCACGTTATAGAAAGTTAGGAGGAATACAGTGTTCCAGTGGTAGTGGAAAAAAGCCCCCATACTCCCTGCCAGACAGTTGGCATTCTAGTCTGCCTTGCAGCACCGTAGGCCTATTTTCAGAGGAGAATGGGACATTCCACTAGAATAGATAGGCTACAGATTGTTTTGAGCATGTTTTGTGGGCATGTCACAGAGTAACTTTAATGCGACCTTTACTACAGTTTCTGGACTAGTTTTTCCATGTCTCAATGTCTCAGTCTCTCTACAGAATTTATTCTGCTTAAAGCCATTGTCTGTATACCAAATGGCATCCATAGGGCCCACAGGGCTTTGGTCAAACGTAGTGCACTATATAGGGAATAGAGTGCAATTTGGGACGCTACCATTGTGTAGAGGAAGAGTAAGTCAGCAATGTCTGTCACAGCTTTTATGGCGGATAAGCAATGTAAATAAGACTTTGGTGGCAGAAATCAATAGAGGATGGAATGGTAACTATAGCAAACAGTTGACCCTGTGACTGGTCAATGGATGTCTGGGGTGTGGATAGGTGTTACAAGATACAGTGGTACTAGAGAAGACACACTAATAACACTCCCTAGCCTTAACACATACTACCGGCTGCAAGCATTCATGAAAGTCTGCATTAACTGTTTACGATTATGATTATACCAAAGGGACAAAGTAAGACGATGAAGAAGGCTGTGTGTTGAATGCATGTTAAGAGGTACTCTGCAGTCTGTAACAAACGCAACCTATTAGGGCTTTCTCATGCGCTTGATATTACACTCAAGGCTATAGGTTTCTCGTAATGTAATAAATATGCATGTAATAGCTATGCACGACTACACATTATGTGCATTTGAAGAATACTGTATGTTTGCGATGCAAAGTTGAACCTGTTGTTGTGGTCCTTCCTTCTCTCCTCCCTGCAGGGTGCTGATGCCGGTGGTGCGGAGCTGTCTGATGGCGCTGCCCTCTGTCCAGATTGTCTGGAGCAGCCTGACAGACATGCTCGTCACCCCCCTCTTCCACAGTATGGGCCGGTGTCTGTCATTGGTTCACGTCAAGACCACAGACAACTGATAGGGGCTTTCCTTCCCTGTCATGAAGACGCACAGAGGGGGAAGGCACAGAGGGGGAAGGCACAGAGGGGGAAGGCACAGAGGGGGAAGGCATGGGATCGGATGAGAGAGACATATAAATGATTTATTAAAGAATATCACTTTTTTGACTTATGTCTAAGTGGAAAAATAAGGTATCCTTTACTCATGTTTGTGTTGAAATATATAAGCTCTTTATAAAGCCAACATCAACACTCCATAATATCTGGTAGAATGATGATATAATAATGTATAAGAAGGCTAACAGTTACCTGTAAAGTAATGATAAGTTATAAGTGGTCATAAAGGTTGATTGGGGTAAACATCCCTTAGACAACACCATGACACCATCTGGGTAATAAGATGATCCAACATGATAATTTATGTCATCTGGAATTTCACAAAAGATTAATCATAATGTCTCATGTTTAAAGAAGTGCTTGTGTCAAGCTTTATAAAGGGCTTTTATGTATACTGCCAAATGAACATTTTGCATTTGTGACCAAAACTAATTATTGTAATTCCATAGTTCTGATTCTAAAGAACTGTTTTAATCATGTTGGATCAGATCAGGGCAACATGGGAATTGACAATAAGGCATCTCACCATTCCTGACATCAGACATGTAATATGTGTGTAGTTTCTGCTTTTTATGTGTTGTACATATAGCAGAGGATTCGGCAGGAAATTGAATGAATGAATTCCTTCATATGTTTTCTGTAATAGAGTGTACCTAGATCCAAGATGCTGGGGTGCAGGTTATTGCATACTTGTGCAGCCTTATTTTGCTACTGCTGTGTTGATCTCGCAGTGCTTTGGATATATTTTTGGGCAATAGCTTTTATAGTAAGGGGCAGTTTCCCGGACATAGATTAAGCCTAGTGTCTAGCCTAGAGATTCTCCATTAAGCTTCCTTTTAGTCTCCATTAAGCTTCCTTTTAGTCTCCATTAAGCTTCCTTTTAGTCTCCATTAAGCTTCCTTTTAGTCTCCATTAAGCTCGCTTTTCTGCGTCCGGGAAAACCTAAGACAGTTGTATACATTTTGAACAGGAGGTGGACTAAATGTCCAATATAATATAAAACAGGAGTATTGGCTCTCTAACTTATTATTTATATGCCACGCACAATTGTCATGTTTCTTGATTGTCCATGTTTTGATTGAAGACATGAAAAAACTGGACAGAACTTGTGTCTTATGTTTCTGAAGATAATGAGGTGACTACACTCCAGTTTATTGTATTGAGTGAAGCGTTGATACACTTGTCAGGTACATGGCTGTAGGCCTACACTCTTAGAAAAAAAGGTGCTATCTAGAACTTAAAAGGGTTCTTCAGCTGTCCCCATAGGATAACCTTTTGAAGAACACTTGTTGGTTCCAGGTAGAACCCTTATGGGTTCCATGTAGAACCCTTTCCACAGAGGGTTCTACATGGAACTCAAAAGGGTGCTCCGATGGGGACAGCCGAATAAACCTTCTGGTACCCTTTTTTCTAAGAGTGTAGGTACTGCTGAGCTTGTTTTTAGCAGCTAGTAGTAGCTAGCTTGCATGCTTTACTTCAAAACCCAACTATATAGAGAATCTCTACAGACAGATATTGACAGAAATATCTGGCAGATAGTGCCACCAGTTCTTCACAGCTCATATAAATAATAGAACTCACACAAGACCCTGTGCTTTGTTTAACCTTTTACTTCAGTGGGCTAAATCAGGGTCACACATAGTGTTTCTTGGTAGTCTTAAACAAATCTACTTTGAAACAAAAGTATACACCTCACACACATGGTTATGGGCTTTAAAAAAACACCTGTTCCATGTCAGATATAGAGTTGAAATGTATTCAATTTTGAGTTTGTATCCCAATATTACACTTTATATACTATACATCACAGAAGACTGAAATATAACAAAACCGTTTGACATAGAAACAACGGATTTTATGTTATAATAAAAAAGGAATGTTTATTAATTATGAAATTATTACAAATATTAATAACATTCCACCAATGAGACCACTAGAGGGTGAGTTGGTCATTTGACTGCAGGAAAGGGCTACATGAACAAACATGCGCAGCGGTTCTCTCAGTGACTTCTAATCATTTGGCTATAAAGCGAGACGGTTGACAGCCTGACAGCCAATAGACCATGTATGTACTTGGCTGAGTTGGTTCTTCTCTGCTGAGAGGAAATTGGAGGTGTGATTGTACAATAGAACACACCGGTGTTGAGTTTGTAGCAAAAATGTAGCAAAAATTGACAATGACGTCATTCTAATTCTGCTCAACAAACGACACTTATTCTTTGATTTGTGTAAATTACCAAAAATGTTCATTTTCTTCACCAAATAAATAATCTTATTTCTAAAATGTTCTGAGTATTGCTGTGTCTGTCTGTCATAGAAGGTAATGAGAACTGTGATAGGAGGGCTAGGTTATGTTTCTCAGTCTCAGTGCCAGAGAAAAGTTGTAAATTACTGACTGAGCTGGTCTGATTGCACAAGACACTTTCCTATATAGAGAGGAAAAGAGCTGCCTCTGTCTGTGGGCCTATGGAACCTGACCTGGGGCTCAGTTTATAACCTACAGGTTTACACACAGCACAATACTGACTAGGAAGAATATTCCATACTTGAATATTCCATACTGATAATCTGCAGGTTTGCGCAAAGACAAAACTCTACTGATTCGGTACAATGTGAAAAATATTCCATACTGCAATGATGGTTCTACAACGTTCGTCCAGCGAGTTGTACTCACGGAAATGCCCCAGATTTATGAGTTGTTTGACTTATGAGCCTTCAACGTATCTGGGTCAGCACACTTACCTTCTGCCTACGGTTATCCCCCTGGTTACAGGTCTTCAGTCTAATGTGAAGCATATTCATCTAATTCTCTCTGTTCCTTAATGCCAAACACAAGAGGAATGGTTCTTCTTTCTTCTACATCTGGGTACTCACTGTGTATTTTCCGAAACCATCTATCTCGCACCAATAGCACTGAGTATACAGCAGTACCGTGTCTAAAGACAATTTTCTCCTCAGGGACATTAAAGGTGATCATAAGGAACCTTTTTATAAATGAAAGCTGGACACTGTTGTGATTATGACTCATTTGCATTCTTTTTTGCATGGTCTAGACCTCAGCTAACTCTGCAGTAGAGTCCCATTGGTCTAGACCTCAGCTAACTCTGCAGTAGAGTCCCATTGGTCTAGACCTCAGCTGACTCTGCAGTAGAGTCCCATTGGTCTGGTTGTCTTCCCTAGAGAATGGCTACAGTCAACTTCTAGTGACTGAGTTCTGCAATGAAAAGGGACAGTACTGTGTAGCCTAGGTTACCAATTACAACCCCCATACACTCTCACACACATACACACACACACACACACACACACACTGGCTGAAAATAACGGGGACAGGACTATTATGTCTCTGGGACTGGTGTCATTTCCAAACCAAGGTGAGTTGTTTCCCTGGGCAGATAATCAGACAAAGGAATGTAGACAGACCACCATGACCAGAGCAGGTTCCTAATCCTTACAGAGCATAGGGCTGGGGGAACTCAATCCCTCAGTTTACTCAGGAAAGACAGCAGCCAACAGAAACGACACATAGCACACACACACACTAACACACACACACACACACACACACACACACACACACACACACAGAGGAACAAACGACACACACACACACACACACACACACACACACACACAGGCCAACTTGAAAACACAATCTTAGTAGTTGAACAGATCAGGTCAGTTTCTCCACAACTAGCTGCTGCGTAATGTATTGAGCAGTAGGTTAATGGCGGGTTACAGTTTCATCCCGCTGCACTGCTTGTCTAAACAGGTGACTGCTGAATGAATAAGACGAGCATTCATTCAGTCCATGCAGAGGCACGCAGAGATTTCTCATTCAGGTCTCTCCGGCGCCTTAACTTGAATTTTGCTTTCAATGAGCACAACGTAAAGATAAGCGATATGATTTGGTAATATCCCAGGAAGAGCTCCAAAGTCGTTAACAAACAGTCCCCACGCCTCCTGTTGATTTGCTTCCTCTGTTAAACTGACACTGTCTTGCTTCAACAACATACTGGTCTGTTAGCACTTCAGGCGCGGGACAGCATGACTGGCGGACTCAAGGACGGCGAAACTGACGAGGTAAGGTTCTCTGCGTCCTGTCACAATCCAACTTTTTCTTTTCCAGTTTTATGATAGCCTATATTTTGTATTTTATAATGGATATTGAATAATATGTGAGCAACACATTTTCTATGGCTCATTCTCATTGTGACATTTATCGAAAATGCCCTTGGAAGATTGGGAAACTGGAACAATTTTTTACTCCAAAGCACTATTTGCCATCTTTTTTGGCACCTAGTTGTGAACGTTACTCCCACTCCCCTCTCGTCTCCATTAGCACTGGCATGATACATTTGCAGTTATTTATTAACTAGCCTACACTAATAGCATTCTGTGCGTTATTTCATTTTTAATCCACTTGAAACACACAATTGTGAATACAAGTTGTCTTTAGAATGTTAATTGTATTAGACTAAGTCAATCGAAAATGCAATTTCCATTACAAGTTGACAGTTTACATGCGTGAAAATAAGCTTTCGATGCTTTCTGTGAGACAGGTTCTGTATTTACAGAGAATAGCCAGCCGAACAATCTTTATGCAGGCATTGTGTGAGCGTTTGGAGATGACCCCTTGCGGTGAGAGATGGATCTCTGCTGTTGAGGGGTGTGGTACTACCCTTTTAAAACCATCTCAGGCTGGGGCAGGCTGCTAACTCTGGTGCGCTCCAGTCGACCTTCTCTGCCTCTCTGCGCATCTCTCCACTAACTTATAAACGTATAACGCTTCTCTTATTCACCTCCGGACTCACAGGAATTTCTGCACTCGCCGTTCATCAGGAAACAAGGGAACATTTATAAACCTAATAACAAAGACATGGATAATGACAGTATGAGCGGGATGAAGACGATGCAGGATGTCCATACGAAAGAGATCGACCTGGTGAACCGGGACCCCAAGCGCTTAAACGACGACGTTGTCAAGGTGAGTTCAACACCGAACCAGTCCGTAGACGGTATTTTTACCCATGAAGAGAAAATAATTGTTTATGGATTTTTTTCACTAGTAAGATTTCACTTTGGACCTTTTTATTTACTTTATTTATTAGACTGGTTTGATACGATTATTATTTGATCAAATCGTGCGTCATATAAATTATAGTTTAGGTTAGAACTAGTTCAGTTCCAATATTGCATGTGGATGGTTTTGTACTTGGACACATTAACTAATGTTGTTATATTATCAATGTTCCCATTATAATATACCAAGGAGGACTGGAAATTGTCACTCGCACGATTACTGGGCAGGCTAGGAGCTGCCAAATGTGCATAGTAAGCTGCGTGCGTCAAGGGCGCACAAAGTACTGCGTGTGTCGTATGGTTGGTGGGTCTCATGGCATTCTCGTGTGTAGCCTATACTATGTGTCCGTTTGATTTTTTCGGATTCATGACCCCAGTTTACAATGTTTTACATCGGCCAGAATAGGTTTGTGAAGGGCTCAACACATGCGTAAATGTGGTGCGTACGCAGCAGCGTCTCTTGCCTATTTTGCTGGTGCGGCTGCTGTCATTAGCCGAACATCCTTGCTCTGGTTTTGGAACGGAGGAAACATCACGAATTTCCTGTTGTTGGAACAGAAATGTTCTCACAGTCCTTGTTTTATAGTTACACATGTCTCTTATTCTGTGAGTGAGTTATTGGAGAGCAAACGTATTTCCAACGTAGACTACAACCACACTGTGCCCATTTTGTGTTTATGTAAAATATGAGTTTGTTGAGAGAAGCCCTCGCTGACATTACTGTGGTACGTGTGAAAATCACCTGTCATCCGTTGGTGGGAACAGAAAGGCCCAGGTGACACAGTCAGAGTCTGTGTCCCAAATGGCACCATATGCCTTATGGCCCTGTTCAAAAGTAGTGCACTACATAGGGAATAGGGTGCCATTTGTGACATAGACTGTCCATCTATCCTCATGTCCAGCTGGGTTATTGTTTCATCTGTAAAGAGTCAGTTACCACTGGGAGAGGGTCAGCCGTTTGAAGTAGTGAACTTTGCCTTCATAAAACAGGGAAACACCCAAGTAGCTGCAGGGGCAGGCAGGCCAAGGGATCTCCCTCTCTCTCCCCTCTCCTCCCCCTCCCACTGCTCTGTCCTATATCGCCCTTTGTCTCTCTCCCTCCCTCTCTGCAATCCTCAGGGATGCGTCAACTAGGGAGCAATGACTACATTCTCTCTCCCCTGTCTCCTAGTCTCCCTTCTTGTGTGCATTTGCTCCGTTTCATTTCAATAGGTTTGTTCATATAAAAGATAATCTTGTGTGTTAATGGTAAGAGGAAACCCAACTCACACAATTTAGATAAAAGTAGAGATGATTGTAAAAAAATATTTATCTCTGTCTTGCAGTTTCCCCCCCCCCCCCCCCCCCCCCCCCCCCTCTCTCCTCTCTCTCTCTCTCTCTCTCTCTCTCTCTCTCTCTCTCTCTCTCTCTCTCTCTCTCTCAATTCAATTCAAAGGGCTTTATTGGCATGGGAAACATATGTTTACATTGCCAAAGCAAGTGAAATAGATAATAAACAAAAGTGAAATAAACAATAAAAAATGAACTGTAAACATTTCACACAATTTAGATAAAAGTAGAGATGATTGTAAAAAAAATATTTATCTCTGTCTTGCAGTTTTCCTCTCTCTCTCTCTGACTTCCTACCAACTGATTGTAACAGTGAGACAGACTCTTCAGTATGCTCAGAATATAATACAGCCTTATGATTCTGCTATTTTAATCAAATCTACAGACCGCTAGTGTAATCATCTGAAGTCACATGTATTCTCCCAGGCTATAGAGGTTTGGAGTTCTAAATGTTGTCAATGGAGGTGTGTGTTTGGGGTGCCCTCACTATGCTGCTGTTATGTACATTTACATTTACGTCATTTAGCAGACGCTCTTATCCAGAGCCACTTACAGTTAGTGAGTGCATACATTTTTCATACTGGCCCCCCGTGGGAATTGAACCAACAACCCTGGCGTTGCAAGTACCATGCTCTACCAACTGAGCTACAGGAGGGCCAGGGAACACGAACACACACACACACACACACACACACACACACACACACACACACACACACACACACACACACACACACACACACACACACACACACACACACACACACACACACACACACACACACACACACACACACACACACACACACACACACACACACACACACACACACACACACACACACACACACACACACACACACTACTCTCCTTCTGCAGAACCATGTGTACCAGTAGACCTTTGACTTTCTCTAGCAGTGATCTTATAATTTATCTGGAATTTCGGCAGCTGCACTCCCTCAACCGGCCACATCAAAGAATCACCATCACTGAAATCCATGCAGAGTTTGGAGAGTTTGCCCTGGGAATAGAATATTTCCTCTCATAAAGCCTGGTTCTTTATATAGCCCAGGGCCAGGCAGCCTTCTGTTAAACCCCGATGGGGCTGAGTCTGAGCTGAGCTGAGCTGAGCTGACACACCCACGGCCACACTGTGCAGCGCGGACAGCAGCGATCGGCTCGCTAACCAGCCGCTAGCTAACATCTCCCTGCCAAACGTTCTAGTATGCCGGGACTCCCAGAGGAGGGAGGCGGGAGGCACATTATATTGGGAAATTAAGACATTCAGGCTTAATGGTAAGCTGAGGCAGGGTTTCCCATAGATTGTTCAGGTAGGGTGCAAACAAAGGCCCAAATCAACATTCAGGGCTAATTTATTAAGCAACAATTTCAGTTGAAATCAATTGAAGCCAAATGATTTATTTTAGGTGGGGGAAAACACTGCTAGGTAGGGATGGCCCATCCTACTTACACAATGGTGGAGGAAACACTGGACTGAGGCATTCAGCACTCTAGGGACAGAATGGAAAAATATATTACATGCCTCTCTCAAGATTGCAGCCAACCAGACTGGTCACATGTTGTCCCTGAGAACTAGTTGGTTTTACTGTATGCCCAGTAACTAAAGGGGCGATAGGGGCTGAGACATTGTATCTATCTAGCCAACCATGACTTGCCCACCAATAAATAAAATCCTCTCAGGCTTTCCCTCCGTATTACCTAGGGCTGTTTCTCATAAAGAATGTTCTTCTCTGTTCACTATAGTTCAATTATCTATTGCAATAGCAAAGTAATAACAACTCCCTGTGAATAAAATGTATTTGCTGACTTGTAATCTTATCTTATGTTTATGTCTTTCTAAACTAGGCTTTAGAAAAACATAGGCACTCTCGCTTACAATTAAAATATTAGCATCTGTTAAAAAAAATTAAACGTTACATTTCGGCTGCTAACAGCTCTCATCAGAACCATTCTACATTTACATTTTTACATTTTAGTCATTTAGCAGACGCTCTTAACCAGAGCGACTTACAGGAGCAATTAGGGTTAAGTGCCTTGCTCAAGGGCACATTAACGTCATTTAGCAGACGCTCTTAGCCAGAGCGACTCACAAATTGGTGCGTTCACCCTATAGCCAGTGGGATAACCACTTTACAATTTGGGGGGGGGGTTAGAAGGAATACTTTATCCTATCCCAGGTATTCCTTAAAGAGGTGGGGTTTCAAATGTCTCCGGAAGGTGGTGAGTGACTCCGCTGTCCTGGCGTCGTGAGGGAGCTTGTTCCACCATTCTACACAGACCTCTCATTTATTCTCCATCCAAGTGATGGAAACTGTGTCTGTGGGCCTACATACAATACAGTACTCAAGATGTATGGCTCTGGAAACTGTGTCTGTGGGCCTACATACAATACAGTACTCAAGATGTATGGCTCTGGAAACTGTGTCTGTGGGCCTACATACAATACAGTACTCAAGATGTATGGCTCTGGAAACTGTGTCTGTGGGCCTACATACAATACAGTACTCAAGATGTATGGCTCTGGAAACTGTGTCTGTGGGCCTACATACAATACAGTACTCAAGATGTATGGCTCTGGAAACTGTGTCTGTGGGCCTACATACAATACAGTACTCAAGATGTATGGCTCTGGAAACTGTGTCTGTGGGCCTACATACAATACAGTACTCAAGATGTATGGCTCTGGAAACTGTGTCTGTGGGCCTACAATACAGTACTCAAGATGTATGGCTCTGGAAACTGTGTCTGTGGGCCTACATACAATACAGTACTCAAGATGTATGGCTCTGGAAACTGTGTCTGTGGGCCTACATACAATACAGTACTCAAGATGTATGGCTCTGGAAACTGTGTCTGTGGGCCTACATACAATACAGTACTCAAGATGTATGGCTCTGGAAACTGTGTCTGTGGGCCTACATACAATACAGTACTCAAGATGTATGGCTCTGGAAACTGTGTCTGTGGGCCTACATACAATACAGTACTCAAGATGTATGGCTCTGGAAACTGTGTCTGTGGGCCTACATACAATACAGTACTCAAGATGTATGGCTCTGGAAAATGAAATGGAATTTGCTGGGTTTTGTGGCGTAAAGAATTATGAGATTTATATTACAGGGTTTCACCACCAAGCTATTTTACGCTATAAGTTTAGCATGTTCAGTTTAGCGAGTTCCCTGTGTACACAGTAAGAGCTGGTAGAATGGCTCCTGAATCAAATGAACAAAGACCTATATTGCATAGAGGCAAATGTAGCTCAGTTGGTAGAGCATGGTGCTTGCAATGCCAGGGTTGTGGGTTCGTTTCCCACGGGGGGCCAGTATGAAAATGTATACACTCACTAACTGTAAGTCGCTCTGGATAAGAGCGTCTGCTAAATGACGTAAATGTAAAATGCACTAGACACAGGTGATGTTAAACCCTCTGACAGCGACACGTCTCTCGCAGACAAAACACACACGCAATAATTAACTGTAAAATAAATATTTGCTGTATCATGGGCCTGGAATCAAAGGGAAGAGTAAAAGAGAAAGAGCAAGAGAGGAGTAGTGAGAGTGGTAGCACGAGAGAGAGTGGGAAAAAGAGAGAGAGAGCGAGAGAGGTAGTGAGAGTGGTAGCACTAGTGAGAGACTGGGAAAAAGAGAGAGAGAGCGAGAGAGGTAGTGAGAGTGGTAGCACTAGTGAGAGTGGTACCATGAGCGAGAGAGGGGTAGTGAGAGTGGTAGCACGAGAGAGAGACTGGGAAAAAGAGAGAAAGACAGAGAGCAAGTATGTGTGTGCTCGCGTGTGTGTTTTTCCACTTTACAATCTGCACTAAATCGTCTATGAGGTCATGGGTACTTGGGAGGCACGTCGCAAACCCGTCGATCGCCTGAGAAGTCTGTTTACACTGAAAATAAATAAATGTCATGGTTTACCTCACTGGGGCCATCCGGCTTCTCTTTACTACATGTAGGTACTAGAGGACACATATAGCTTTAATACAGGAGCTTGGAGGCTCTCAGGTGGTGAATGTAAACTGAACTGCATTAGAGAGAACTCCAGGGTAGAGAAGGGCATTGCAGTAGAACTGGGCAGAGTCTGAAATGACACTGTATTTCCTGTTTTGAATTGGAATAGGGTGCTGGCTGGTTCTAACCAAAACCAGTACTTGGGAATAGGCCAATGACACTGACCAAAAGTACTGCACTATCTTGGGAATAGGGTGCTGGCTATTTGCCCTCTGATTCAGACACTTCTATGTGTCTCTGTCTTGTGTATCAGTCTGTCTGTCAGGAATGTGAAGAGGTGGTTTAGGAGGGTAGAGCGAGTAGGAGGAGGGCCTCACACAGCAAGTGTAGCAATCACAAAATGTTTTTGCGAAGGGGGGTAGGAGAGTGGGTGGGTGGTTAGTTTGACCTGGTTTGAGTGCTCGTACCAGCCACTATGAGGAGACATACATCTCTTGTAATATTTCTAGTACTTGTGTAACTTCAGAACAGGGGCACAAATGTATGGGAGGGCAACAGCTGTTTATTTTTAAAAATATATTTTTAATCTGTTTTTTGCTTTGAGAGTGGCTGTCTAATTTATCATTGCTGATTCATCGATTTTAACCATTACTCTCCTCTCCTGTCAGGTGGACTTTGAGGATGTGATCGCAGAGCCTGCGGGCACGTACAGCTTCGACGGCGTGTGGAAGGCTAGCTTCACCACCTTCACGGTGACCAAGTACTGGTGCTACCGTCTCCTCACCGCCCTGGTGGGCATCCCGCTGGCGCTGGTCTGGGGCATCTTCTTCGCCATCCTGTCCTTCATCCATATCTGGGCGGTGGTGCCGTGTGTCAAGAGTTATCTGATAGAGATCCACTGTGTCAGCCGCGTCTACTCCATCTGCGTCCACACCTTCTGCGACCCGCTGTTCGAAGCCATGGGCAAGTGCTTCAGCAGCATCCGCATCAGTACCACCAAGGGGGTATAGAAAAGACGAGGAAGGGAGGATGAAGAGGAAGAGGAAGGGAGGATGGGAATGAGGAGGGGAGGTGTGGAAACCATAACTAAACACAGATTGAAAGGGGGGAGAAGTCACCAGAAGAAAAAGAAAAGAGAGAGAACAACTTCTGATAAAATTAGAGGTGAGACATTTCCAGAGCTGTGGAAGGGATGTTGGAGGTAAGGGAACAGTAATAGAGAGCATCTGGCCCCTCCTCTCTTTCTCCCTCGACAACAATGGTTTCTCTCTCCAGTGCTTGTTTAACCAACAGGGGCACAGGATTACATCGAGGGTCATTCCTTGGGGTCTTTGTTTTTCTGTTTGTTTTTCTTTCGTTTTTTTATTCTGTATTTGTTAGCGTTGTTTATCACTGCAGGAGCATCACGCTAGCCCCCCACCCCATCCATTCCTCCTATTGTTCCAAAATGTTGTGTGACCCTCTCTGATTATAGCTTGTTTAATGGGGAGTATTGATTGAATGATTGATAAGTTAGTTAATTGATTGATTGATAGGCTCATATAATAGATGTTGGTGTCCTCTCTGCTGGGTTTGTGTGTTTGGGGCATGTTTTTTGGGAGGGGGGTGGTTTTGGTGGTGGGGGGGGGGGGGGGGGGGATATCCCTGTGCCTGTCCCACTGCGTTGTTTTGAGAGACAAATCCCACCTGACACAGCACAAAATCCTAGACCCAAAACCTTATCAACGTCCCTCCCTCTCAGCCCCCCTACCCCCACCGACCCCCTCTCATACCCCCACCGACCCCCTCTCAGCCGCCCTACCCCCACCGACCCCCTCTCACACCCCCACCGACCCCCTCTCATACCCCCACCCCCTTATGCCTGCCCTGCCTCCCAGTCTGAAACACTGAACCTGCCCTTGTTTCTGCATGCACCGCCACAAAGCCACCGAGCCAACTAACACACTGCTGTCAGTCTGTACGCCCAGACAGACAGACACACAGCTATAGGACAACATCGCTCACAGAGCCTGCCCTGCCCTCAGCCCAGTGCCACATGATGACATCATAATCACTCTCTCCATCAGCATTCAGATCCAGTTCTACTACAAGCCAGAGAGACTCAATTCCATGACAACAACCAGGTCTTAAATACAGTTTTCAGATAGTTTCTATGTGACCGAGAATGTTTTTAAGTTTGCCTTTGAATCTCGGGAGAAATATAACTTGATCTTTGTTTCATTACATTCACACCATTGGATCTTTTTTTTTATACCATTGAGGTCTCTTCTCTTCTAAAATGGACGGGAGGATTGAACCTTGTATGTTGATGCACATTGCGGTAGCTGTAACTAAATAACCATGGCTTTTTATTCCTACACTTTCTGAAGATGAAGAACTTTTGTTTTGAGCTTTTTTTAAATTCTGTTGTTTTATACTAGCCTTGCCCAATGTATGCACAAGTTGAGTAGCATTGTCATATATATTCTTTTTTTTTTTGTCCCCAATGAGTTTGGATGAGTTAAGTCCCTGATTGACTAGTTTGGTCTGGTGTAGCATTCTGCTTGTTGGCTGAACAAGGACAATCAGCTAACCGGTCTCCCTCCCCTGAGACCACTGCTGTTTGACAACGAATGGGAGCATATTTTTGTTCTATACTGACATGAATCTCACTTTGTGTGCATCCCAAATGGCACCCGCATCCCAAATGGCACCCTATTTCCTATATACACTATTAACCGAAGTTCAGTATGGGACCTGGTCAAATGTAGTGCACTATATAGGGAATATGGTGCTATTTGGGATGTCTCCTTTGACTCTGTCACCTTTTATCTACCTGCTGTCTGTGAGGATGGTAAATATTAGCACGTTGCTTGATTGAATTAATTTTTTGACTTGATGAAAAGGTCATACGTATTTTTATATTAAAATTGAATTTGTCCTTCCCTTGCTTTTACTGTACAATCTCACATCACGCTGTGCACATTAAACATTTGTATAATCCAATCTGCTAGCCTGCTTGTATTGCTTGTTTGTTTGTGTTGTTTTGGTTGTGAATCAGTTCTCTTTGTTGTCATGTGACTTTGACCTTATTTGACTTTAGTGAGAACTTGATGTTAGCCTACATTGTGCAAATAAGCCTACAGGCAAAATAACCCAAAACACAGAGACACTTTAGCCTATAAAAATTCATTTTGCTCACCCTTATGGAAAAACCACATGATTTCACATGTGAAATATCCACGTTTTGCACATGTGAAATTCCATATGTGAAATCAGATTACCCCATGTGTTTTTGGAACACTTCACATGTGATGATATTTCACATGAAGTTTCACATGTAGATTTTCATGTGATTACATAACCTTTCACATGTGGATTCAAATTTTCACATGTGAATTTTTTTCACATGCGATTTCACAGGTGATGCCCTGCAAAATAAAATGACTCGTTAGGATACACACACAAACAGCACTTTTAACATACAGTGTTTTCAACTTACATATTTGACACACAATTACATTGTGTATGTATATTTACACAGTAATTATTATTTAGAGTTAAGTTATAGAAATCAATGATGAGAGAATAGTCAAATTAACTGATAACTAAAATAGCAGTGTAGACGGCACTATTTTGCTAAGAGCAAAGATGTACACTGCTCAAAAAAATTAAGGGAACACTAAAATAACACATCCTAGATCTGAATGAATGAAATAATCTTATTAAATACTTTTTTCTTTACATAGTTGAATGTGCTGACAACAAAATCACACAAAAATTATCAATGGAAATCAAATGTATCAACCCATGGATGTCTGGATTTGGAGTCACCCTCAAAATTAAAGTGGAAAACCACACTACAGGCTGATCCAACTTTGATGTAATGTCCTTGAAACAAGTCAAAATGAGGCTCAGTAGTGTGTGTGGCCTCCACGTGCCTGTATGACCTCCCTACAACGCCTGGGCATGCTCCTGATGAGGTGGCGGATGGTCTCCTGAGGGATCTCCTCCCAGACCTGGACTAAAGCATCCGCCAACTCCTGGACAGTCTGTGGTGCAACGTGGCGTTGGTGGATGGAGTGAGACATGATGTCCCAGATGTGCTTAATTGGATTCAGGTCTGGGGAACGGGCGGGCCAGTCCATAGCATCAATGCCTTCCTCTTGAAGGAACTGCTGACACACTCCAGCCACATGAGGTCTAGCATTGTCTTGCATTAGGAGGAACCCAGGGCCAACCGCACCAGCATATGGTCTCACAAGGGGTCTGAGGAGCTCATCTCTGTACCTAATGGCAGTCAGGCTACCTCTGGCGAGCACATGGAGGGCTGTGCGGCCCCCCAAAGAAATGCCACCCCACACCATGACTGACCCACCGCCAAACCGGTCATGCTGGAGGATGTTGCAGGCAGCAGAACGTTCTCCATGGCGTCTCCAGACTCTGTCATGTCTGTCACATGTGCTCAGTGTGAACCCGCTTTCATCTGTGAAGAGCACAGGGCGCCAGTGGCGAATTTGCCAATCTTGGTGTTCTCTGGCAAATGCCAAACGTCCTGCACGGTGTTGGGCTGTAAGCACAACCCCCACCTGTGGACGTCGGGCCCTCACACCATTTACATTTTACATTTTAGTCATTTAGCAGACGCTCTTATCCACAGTTAGTGAGTGCATACATATTTTTTTTATTTTTCATACTGGCCCCCCGCGGGAATCGAACCCACAACCCTGGCGTTGCAAACGCCATGCTCTACCAACATCCCTGCCGGCCATTCCCTCCCCTACCCTGGACGACGCTGGGCCAATTGTGCGCCGCCCCATGGGTCTCCCGGTCACGGCCGGCTACGACAGAGCCTGGATACCACCCTCATGGAGTCTGTTTCTGACCGTTTGAGCAGACACATGCACATTTGTGGCCTGCTGGAGGTCATTTTGCAGGGCTCTGGCAGTGCTCCTCCTGCTCCTCCTTGCACAAAGGCGGAGGTAGCAGTCCTGCTGCTGGGTTGTTGCCCTCCTACGGCCTCCTCCACGTCTCCTGATGTACTGGCCTGTCTCCTGGTAGCGCCTCCATGCTCTGGACACTACGCTGACAGACACAGCAAACCTTCTTGCCACAGCTCGCATTGATGTGCCATCCTGGATGAGCTGCACTACCTGAGCCACTTGTGTGGGTTGTAGACTCCGTCTCATGCTACCACTAGAGTGAAAGCACCGCCAGCATTCAAAAGTGACCAAAACATCAGCCAGGAAGCATAGGAACTGAGAAGTGGTCTGTGGTCACCACCTGCAAAACCAGTCCTTTATTGGGGGTGTCTTGCTAATTGCCTATAATTTCCACCTGTTGTCTATTCCATTTGCACAACAGCATGTGAAATGTATTGTCAATCAGTGTTGCTTCCTAAGTGGACAGTTTGATTTCACAGAAGTGTGATTGACTTGGAGTTACATTGTGTTGTTTAAGTGTTCCCTTTATTTTTTTGAGCAGTGTATTATACTGTAGGTAATCAATGTGTAGATGAATGCTACAGACTTTGTGGCGCAGCAGAATGATCAGCGTACCCCATATCCAGAGGTTGTGAGTCCAAATCCCAGGTGAGGTCATATTGAAAAGTCAGTACTAAATGATCAGGTCAAATGGAATCATATTGTCATTACACTATTTTAGCTGAACAGCATACCACTTACTTTGAAACCCTCATATCATTTCATTCCCTTACAAAATTAAAACGTGAAATAGCTGTTTTCACCTGTAAAGAAAGAGACATGTGAGGTCAGTTGTTCACATGTGAAACCGTATGTTCACATGTATTACATTTAGAGTTCACATGTTAACAGCACCTTTTCACATGTGAGGAGAATAACAATAACATGTGAACATGCAAATTCGATTTTCACATGTCAACGCTATTCCACATGTGAGAGTTTGACTTTCACATGTGAAACTTTGTTTAAATGTTGCATCCCCATGTTGTCACATTTATTTCATATGAGATCATGTTTTCACGTGTAGTTTCATGTTATCACAAGTGGCTTTTACATGTTGTCACGTGTTATCACATTAACTTCACATAAGATCACATGTAACCAGAAACAGAGTAACCAGAAACAAGGAAACAAACAGTTGAGTAATATACACTGCAATGTTTAAGAAAACAGGACCTATTTCAGTCTTGATTTATACTAAAAACCATGTAACTGAAGTGAGGCCAGAGGCAAGAAACTCCCTATAGAACTCCATATAGATCCATTTAAAAAAGTATATTTATTCCCTGCCAGTCGGCCACAGTATCAGTAGCATAATGACCTGGGAAAAGTATTTCAAGTTGCACAATTCTCTGATGCGATCTTCCCCTTTCACATTGTCTGTCCATCATGATTAACATAGACAGTGGCCTGAGCCGCTAAACATGACTTAAATGGCAATGTATAGACAGCAGCCATATATACAGTACAGCTGCTACTCAGGGCCTTAGAATTAGAAAGACTAGAACAAACAGACATTCCCATTCAAGTCAACATTCCGTGATGTCATGGTCTGTCCGTTGTAGTGACTTTAATTCTATGCTTGGGACCTCCCTGGACCTTCCAGAGGGGGTGTGGAACCATTGCTGCACACACAGCATAAA